GCCTGTTACAGTGCCCTACCTCCCCAGGGCTCCGCTTGCCAGTGGGCCTGTTACAGTGCCCTACCTCCCCAGGTCTCCGCTTGCCAGTGGGCCTGTTACAGTGCCCTACCTCCCCAGGTCTCCGCTTGCCAGTGGGCCTGTTACAGTGCCCTACCTCCCCAGGTCTCCGCTTGCCCGTGGGCCTGTTACAGTGCCCTACCTCCCCAGGTCTCTGCTTGCCAGTGGGCCTGTTACAGTGCCCTACCTCCCCAGGTCTCTTCCTGTCAGTGGCTCCACGCTGACTCTTCTGCCTAAGGCCAGCCTGCTCCTTCAGCACCTGGCTGTCATCTGCAGACCCCAGCCTTTAACTGAGCCTGCACCAATGGGGTACCCAGAATAACGATGCTGTGACTCGACATCCAGCCAAACAAAAAACATTGAGAACCTTTTCTGTATGAGTCAGCCTGGATCAGCTAATATGTGCCAAAGGTTATGCTGTTGAACAAAGAGCACGAAAAAAAAGCAAAACATTCTTGTAAAAGAACGACGTGGGTAAGCAGTGAAGTGTAATTAAACACAGCCAGCTGTGCACAAACCACCGACTGACACACAGGGGTTAACGGGCTCCCTCCTCTAGGCTGCCATTTTGCGATTCCTTCAGATGCCAATGCGGTCTCCTCAGGAATCCCAGGCCTGTTGTCATGGATATGGCCGTCCCTCGTTAACATCCACGATTTAGGCTTGTGTTAGCAAAGACAGAAGTGCGTGCACACACACACACAGACACACACACACAGACACACACACACACACACACAGAGACACACACACACACACAGAGACACACACACACACAGAGACACACACACACACACAGAGACACCAGGATAAAAAGTTAGCCAACTTGTCTCACCTATTAACATGATGTGCAAACATTTTTAGGGGTGGGGGTCCTTCATAGATCAATATGGGGGGGAGGGGGGGCAAATCAAAACCAGGGAAAAAATAAAGCTTTTTTCCAGAGGCTGAGTTTGTTTTCATTCACATTTTCCACCAAATGGGTTTTGTTCCACAGAGGCAGAGGGAGGGAGGGAGGGAGGGGGGGAGGGGGGGTTACGGCTGGGAGGAGGCAGAGCGGAGGGCAGGCGGCCCAGGCCTGCTTGGGCACTCTGCCAGCACCCTGCTCCAGGTCTCCGTGCTCCCCCCTCCCTTCTTACTTTTTTTCCCTGTCCTTTCCCCCCCTTAAAACACCGCAGTGCAAAGAAATAAAGAGCTTCCCTGTTGTTCAGTAAACAGGACTCTGGGGCCACCAGTCAAGAGAACCAAATAGCACTGCAGCTGAGCAGCGCTGCAACCGAGCAGCACTGCAGCCAGCCGACCAGTCAGCCCCACAGCCAAGAGGCCTGCAACTAATCAGCACTGCATCCGACCAGCACTGCAGCCAGCCGACCAGGCAGCCCAGCAACCGAGCAGCACTGCAGTCAGCCGACCAGACAGCCCCACAGCCAAGCAGCCCTGCATCCGACCAGCACTGCAACTGACCAGCACTGCAGCCAGCCGACCAGGCAGCCCTGCAACCGAGCAGCACTGCAGTCAGCCGACCAGACAGCCCCACAGCCAAGCAGCCCTGCAACTAATCAGCACTGCATCCGACCAGCCCTGCAACTGACCAGCACTGCAGTCAGCCGACCAGGCAGCCCCACAGTCAAGAGCCCTGGAACTAATCAGCACTGCATCCGACCAGCCCTGCAACTGACCAGCACTGCAGCCAGCCGACAAGGCAGCCCGGCAGCCCTGCAACCGACCAGCACTGCAGTCAGGTAACCAGCCAGCCCTGAAGCCAAGCAGCCGACCAGCACTGCAGCCGACCAGCACTGCAGCCAAACTGCCCTGCAGCTGATCAGCCAGCACCGTTGCACTATCCCAGGCCAGCTTGGCAGCCTGTTAGTCGCCACTGTATCCAGCATAGATAACTAAGGGCTTTCTGTCTCCTTCAAAACAGCTGTTCTGCCTTTGTGCCTCAAAATCCCCGCTCATCCCACAGACACGTGGTCCGGTGTTCTGGCTGCAGCCTCGGGGTTGATACACACAGAGAACAGGAACGCTAGCAGGTGCCGGCGTGAGTAACGGCAGAGGAGGACACCAATCCCCCACGGGCCGGGCTCAGCTCACGCCACATACGCCGTTGCTCACTGATCACACCTGCGGCGGCGCCGCCCACATGCATTAGCGAAACCACGGATTAGTGCTCCGTTAATCGCCGGGGTGCAGAGAGCCGGCGATGAGGAAGGACGGCATCATGTCGTCCCGTAATTAGCACAGCGCCGAGTGACGAGCTGACAGCTCCCCTCCAATCATAATGCACGCTCCTGCGAAAAGCCAAGGGAGGGATTAAAAGCTGCTGAATGGCTGAAGGAGGTGCAGGACAAAACATCACCACACCCTCTGCCTGAGGGCTTAAGGGCACCATCCTCAGCTATTCCCAGAAAGCACCGCTTCCCAGTACCTGGCAGGGCTTCCATTGGCAGAGAGATCACTTATGGTGCCCCCCCCCCCCAAAAAAAA